GTTTCGGAAATCGCGTTCGTCTAACTGGCGGGGGATTAAATCTGATGAGTGCTTGAACACTAACCACACTTGAGGTGGTTGAACACAGTTTTTTAAGTAGTTATCACGCTGAAGTGGTGTCACTAAGGCGGAAAATATGCGTAGAGAGCGCTTTTACGGAGGTGGAGAAAGACAGCGACTCACTCCGCTACCTGGTCACCAGTATCTCCAGGAAAACCAGAAAACTGTTATCCTTTCGCTTACAAGAAGACGAGTGTCAGATAAAATATGGTGCACAGCAGTGAATAGCGATTTATCTGCTCTCTCTGGTGCGTCGCTAGCTGAATTATTGTCCAATCACCGTCTGTAAATATTTCTATAGCGTTGGAGCGGTCCGAAGTACAGATCGACCAATAACATAAATGGGACAAAGTTGAGCCCTACAGCCTCACCGTTTACCTTAGTTTTGCTTAATAATCGCTTATTTTCTATGTCTAACAAAGGGTAACAATTACGTTATTCCACAGAAATTGATAGATTCATGTTGTCCGTGACTGTAGTACTTATAGTGAGTGACTGCGCAAAAATTCGAGGTTTTGCTAGTTCTAATTGAGTGTTGAGATGTTGTTAGATCCTGAGGTGAGCGATTCGACTGCCCAGCTTGAAGTGCTCAGCTCAGCGAGCGAAACAACTCAGCTACGTGACCGGTGGATGACGCTGTGGTTGATTTTGTAGTAATAAGATAATACAACCCAGCATTTCCTTGCCGTTTTAATGCCAATTACGCCGTCAGAATTGCACTGAGTTAACCAGCTTAGGTTCCTTCATCTTACTTGAGCACTTCCGCTCATGAAATTGGGACAAACTGACCTACAACTGCAGTAACATGGACGCACTGCTGTGGTTTATTGCAAGTCATCAAGTTACTCGCATCCATGCGACACAAGTGGATGAGTTTCAGCCGCCGAATTCGGTCGCAAGGTTTAGCTATGGAGCAGTTGCAAGAAATGTAAATCTTTCAACCGAAATTCGTTGCTACTCTCGAGTCGATTATATGATGACTATGCAGGAGAGTTTCAAGCACTTTTGCCCCAGTTGAGTCAGGGGAACTCCAAATAATTTCCATATTGGCCATCTTCTATCATATGCCATCGGTATTTTCAAAACGTGGCACATTTGGATACCTCCAGCAACGCTGCTATTTGCTTACCAGACGATCAACACTTTTTCATTTGTTTCCTCATTTTGCCTATACATCTTTGTATCTCAGGGTTTGTTGATGGTGGTTGTCACAGCCTCCACACTTGACGTGACGCTTGCTACTCAAGCCACCGTGTTAACAAAACGCTCTCTGAATGTTTTACCCTCACTAATTCCTATCGGTGCATCATCCCTTTGATCGATGTCATTGTGGATAACACATTGCTAATTTACTGTGACGCGTTATCGCTCGCAAGAATCCCAACGATTGCTCTAACTTAGCGTTTATTGCATCGAGTTAATTGACCTCGATTCGAATGCGAAAACCGTTCCGGAAGGTGCATTTTGTTTGATCACTTGTAACCAGTCCATAGAAACACATTACTCTTAGCTACCCTGCATCTCCTGAATGTTAGCAGTAATGAAAAAGACGACAAATAGAGAGTGACGCATTATGAGATAGATATGACAGGTCGAGTAGTTATGAGTTGGAAATCGATTGATGAAAGCAAGAATATTCCGAACTTGTCTGGTAGGATATCCAACTACAGTGTCCCCCGCCCCTATGATTCCACATAGAAAGATAATACGCACCAACCCAGTTGACATTTGCAGTGTTTAATTTGCTTATGTATTTCTAGGTTTACACCTAGGAACGCGGATGGTAGACATACGAACTGCGTGGTGTAGCCAGCGTAGTCAGTTAGAGTCCAGCCCAAGCGGACTGAGCGTTGTTGGTCCGTCTCGTCTATCAGGTTGAAGTGTTTGCTAGTGTTTGCAACTAGACCTTATAGAAAGTATGTAACATCAGGTATCCGTAGCACTTTCATTGTCGTCTCCTAGTTATATCAATGGACTGGTGACTGAGTGGGTTTTGTGTTTGGCTCGAAGTGAGGGTAGTTTCCCATTATCCACAACCAGCAGGCAGTTGGTGGTAGTATAACACCGCAACTTCTGAGTGTCTTGGCAGGATACTGCAGATGCATTCGTTCTTTGTTTTCTTTTCAGTATAACGTATGTCTGATGCTGGGTTGTGACGCGAATAATTGAAAACAGGAAGGAAGCTATCTCGCCGATGCGGCTGCATCATGTGATAGTCAGCTGTTTGTTGACGTGTGTTGTCGACAGCGCTTAGGCATTTTGATCATGAACGTTCGTTTGTGGAATTTGGGTCCTTACATGGAATTCCCTCACTATTCCACAATGAAAGTAGGCCTTAAGGTGGCGCCACTGTTTGCGTATCTCTTCAACCCATTGCACTATAGTAGATGTTACCCCGTATCCCATGAAAGCTAATCCTAACAGGTCGATAACTGGTTGGAAATCGGATACACTCATTCTCCTGGTCCTCCAGTTTGTGGATCAGAAATGTGATAGCATGCGTTTATGTAAAAATCAAATCTTTACCGCTTCGTCGCTGCCTTACGGATAGACTATGTTTACCGAAGGCCTTGGTTGAGGACTCTAATCGTTCTCCTGTCTAGGTTTAGGCGCCCTCCGCGTAGGCGTGGGCGGCCTCGCGGCATAGTCAGCCCGCGTGCGACTGCTGGTGGTCGCACGGCAGCGAATCGCCGTTACGGCGTACAGCTGACACTATTTCACTATTATTTTAGGCGCCTGGGCAGTAGTATATCAGCCCAAGTACAACCATGACTATTTCATCAAATTTAAATCACATTCTGCGAGGGATGCCGTGAAGCTCTAAACGGGTCGCTTTATCTGCTGTTATACATCAGAGTGGACAAGTGCAAACATGCCGCCATTATCAGTGCATCTATTCAGCTTTCTTTAACTCCTCTCCCGACTCCCATAACTAAATTTCCTTTCAGTTCAGTTGACAACCGCTGCAATACCTATGGGGTTTTTATTTATATATATTTATTTAGCACGACCAGTAAGCAATTGGCAGAGTACCACAACACATGAGTAACAACAACCATAGGAGGAAAAGCCACAACCAGGGAAAAGGTTAGATAGGTTCATGTGTTGCGTGGTCAGTGAGCTTTCCGACTGCACAGGCCGAGTAAGAGGTTGACTTAAAGGACCGCACCCCGACGCTTTGGTTTTAAAGACCTGACCAGCAAGGCAGGGTGGCGATTCACGCATGTTGCTGAATATGAAGACCGTCGACAGCCAAATGGCTTATTCTCCTTCTTTGTGTTCGGTTGTAGTTTACACAGAAGCCGGTGGCTGGCAAGGTTGTTCATTCACCCTCCTTTAGGTGATGACCTTTGGGTAGAGGAGTGGTCAGTGGCCCTATAGCCGGTCACATTGGCTTTGACGTAGCGCCGTACTACCACTTGTGGTATTTGCTGGAGAATCAGGTGACCAGCCCAGAACTCCCTACGCTCTGAGACGCTGCCCCTGATTGTCCGCGACAGCTTATTCATTTCACCTGTAAAGCAGACGAGATTTATTCACAGTTATCTTCACAATGAAGGCATTCCCCATTCCGCAAGCTGGGACGGCGTTCGATAGCGTACAGCCCCGCCACATCATCCACCGGACTCTTACCAGGCAGCAGCCCCATGAAATGTCACGCTGTCCAATTGCCCTGGCAGCTTTCAACGTTCGCATCCTAAGACAACTAGTACAACAGGCTTCATTCGCGCACTCGTTGGACACACTACGTATCGACGTGTGTTGTTAACTGTTTATCTAAGCTTCTTCACACGCTGTACATATATATATATATATATATATATATATATATATATATATATATATATATATATATATATATATATATATAAAGGGTCATTTTAAGCTGGATGAAGTGCATTCAACTTTAACTGGTTTGTTTTGCCTACCTGAATAATCATCTCTTAACTTGTGCAATTTGCTTACGCTGATTTGCTTATGTTCGTTAACTTTATTGAGTTTGTAGCATTTTTCGAGTAACTTGTGAAGATTTTATACTTGTTGCTTATTCGTTGATAACCAACTTACTTCATATGTTAATTTAGGGAAGAGTTATGTCTGCATAGCCGTATACCTTAACAGATCTTCCTTTTTATAATGTTATTTCAAGTGATTGGCTGTTGCTTGATATCCCTGTTGTGGCTGCACTTGATATGTATGTTGACAAGGTGCCTACCTGTATATCACCCACTACCTCGTCCATATTGCCTCCAGGAGACAGTTGGTCGTTGCTGGAGGGGAAGGGGTGCACCGTCCTTGTGACCGTGTTAAGATCACCGAGTGGTTCCATGCCCTCAGTGTGGAGCGGACTACGGTCCAGCCACCTCCTTGTGTGCGTTTGATTCCCAATACAGCGTGCTTGTGTTTGCCTGTGAAGCGGTGTTGGCCTGCTCCGTTGATGAAACGTGGCTCCCATCCACCTGCCTCCCGGTCTGATTCCTTCGGGTTTATACTGTATATGGGTGTGTGGTTTGAGCTGTGGGTGGTGCAGCGTAAGTCACCCATGGTCCCTCTGTAGGCGCAGGCGTCCTGTGGCTGTCCCTGTGGAGACGACCGTGACAGGCAAATCCGAAACCGGAAGTTGCCAACCATGCACAAAAGAATGTTGAACGGCCAGTTTGTCTTTATGGAAGTCGAAACTGCTGCATCGCTCCTGGACGCAATATAGCGAAGGTGCAACCCTAGGTTTTAAAACATAGGCCCTATCTCTGTGCTCTACTGAATGCTGACAGATGTAACGTTTATGTAACTACACATGACGTAGGGTCTCCAAATTTCGCCTTTCAGTTTTAAGCAATTTGGTCAAATTACCTTGATTTGTTGCCCGATGCACTAAACAGCACTATATTTTGACTGTTCATTGGGCGTTACTCGGCCATGTTGATTTGAACAATACTCACCTTTTCAAAAATTGCACGTAATCTTTTTGTCGTCGCATTCCGGTGTGCATCATGATAGACTGAAAACAATGTCGATCAATTGCCCATAATTTGCAGTCCGCCGTGGCTGTAGACAATGGGAGGGTAGGGAGAGATTGAGTTTGCAAGTGATACATTCATAGTTGGGGCCAATGTCCTATAGTGACAGCCGGATACCGTTTATTTAATTAATCACAATCAATTTACAAGCCAGAGAGGCCAACTACCAATGGGAGAAGTGTCAGACGGTCGTTTCCTCCCGGTGGGGACTTATCAGTGGATTCTCATTAGTTAGTGAAAAAGCACTTGTTACAGAATCGATCATTATGATGGCACATTGGATATCAAGTAGTGACTGTAAGAGACAGAAAGCACTTGCTGTCAATGCATTACACAGGAAGTGGTTAGGTAGAACTCATTTTGTCATTTGCTATCGATTCAAACATTTCTATCTACCGTGTGTCAGCATCTGTGTTTAATGCCTCAGCAGAGTGGATTGTTCCCATCGACTAGCTTGAAAGTATGACGGAAAGGATGTCTATAATTGGGGTTCAAAACACCAGCTAGCTATGCAATGCAGACAATTGCAGACCAAGCGGTGGTAACAAACGGATCCGCCACATTTGTAGGTAGGAATGTACTGGAACATTACATCAATTGTGTTGTCACTGACGGTTTAGTTCTACGGCGTTCGCTGGCGCAAATAAGACTGAGGTTGGGTCTTATGGACATCATACTACAACAAAACTAAGATACTCTTGATAAGTCAAGGTATTAATCTGTTGTATTAAATCACCTCACCGTTACACAAGCAAAAGTGTTGCAACGCCAAACTTCACTAGACAGAAGATTCGTGGTGGACGTACGTCCCTATGACGCACAGGGCCTACCGCTTTACAACGGATTTGCCGACTCAGATCGCAGCACTCCTAGTCGAGTACTGTTGCGCGTACCACACCAGTTGCTGAAATTTGCTGCAGCTGATTCCACTACCCGATTCGCTATCACTTGAATTTTTAGGTTATATTCGTTTCGGCATGAACCTGACTAGTCAGGACCAATACATGCACAATTGCCACTTCAATTGAAATACACAAACTGGGCATGCCTAATTGGCGCACCCAAGTTTGATTGGTTGGAGCTTACTTGCGGTGCATCGATCGACCGAGCTGGGCTGGTCAGTCAGTGCTGTGCAGTCAGTGGCGCACAGTAAAGTGAATAGCGACGCTGTTACTGGCCGACACAGGCTTCTCTGTGTCATTGGCATCCAGATGCCCAGGGAAATCAATTAGCCCCGAATGTTTGAGCATAAGTGAGGATTTATGGATATCGCTGTGTTAACGGCGAGAAAAGGTTTACAAAAACACGTACAACAACGAAGTTACTATAGATGTCAGCTAATATTCCCACACCTTAACACGCTTGTAATCTAAGTTTCACCGATCAAACAAATCGACTATGTTTGCCATGTGATCAACAGTAGTTACGTTTTCTTGTTCCAGTTGTCAACCAGATACCTGACGGTTGGTTGGAATCGGTAAGCTTCACTAGAGCTAATTATCAGGAGACTTGGATAACCACACCGGTAACTCCTGTAGCTTACGGTTGCAGTCTATGCCAGTTTGGATTTTTTAATAGTGCCATTCTACAGAATTTATGTTTCGCATGGAACCAAGAAAAAGGCGCATAAATGAGTGAACATAGTTTACTTTTCGCACGCTTTACATCAACGAGCACTGCATCCCGTGTATTTCTGCATGCCTACACCCGATTTTTCGTTTACACTAATGCTATTTATCAACGTATTTATCTCGGTAGAGGCTTAGTAGATGATTCACACCTATTTTAACTTCTCTTACCTGAAGAGAAGTACCAGAACAAGTAGTCGCATTCCTGCCCTGTATTCCTTGGCGCATGTCGGTTTACTTGAAGATGATGCTACGAAAGCCAGTCTCCTGGCTATGTAATATTCATCTGTTTGCTCGATGGAGACGCGGTTACCCAGTGACGCGGTGCTGATGCACCCATCTCCGTTGAAGCCCGTAGAGATGCGCACTGATGTCGTTGCTAAAGGCCTTCGTAAATTTGATCCCAACTCCTCGCCGGGTCCTGATGTGTTTCATCCGCTATTCCTCAAGATTGTGACGGATTACCTTGCCGCTCCTGTTTGCCGGGTATCTCCCCATTCCTTTGAAGATGGGCGGCTTCCTATTGCTAGGGAAGTGGGGACTGTGAAACCCATACACAAAGGAGGAAATCGTCAAAATCCTGCCCATTATCGACCCACCTGCTTACCGTCAATATTATGCAAGGTAATAAGAATTCTCCAGCGGGCACTTCATCTTCACCTCGAGAACCTAAACCTCATCTCTTGTGCGCAGCATGGCTTTCGGCGGGCACGCTCATGTTCTTCTAATCTGCTTGGTGTCCTGGAACGTTTGGCGAAATGAGTAGACGCTGGAAAATGCCAGGATGTTGATTCTGTCGACTTCAGCAACGAGTTTGACAAGGCTCCTCATGGAAGGGTTTCTTCTAAACGGCGAGGAATTGGTGTTCCTGGGAAACTTCTCTCTTGGATCGCCGATTTCTCGGACGACCGGACAATGCGAGCCAACGTAAACGAGACTTACTCCGCTCCTGTGGTCATGACCAGAAGTGTCCCGCAGGGATCAGCCTTGGCCCAGAAATTTTCATTATCTTCATCAACGACCTCCCGTCGGAACTTCAGTCGGATTGCTTGATGTACGCTGACGACTTAAAGATGTGGATGGGGATATACTGTCTTGACAATGAGGTCAGATTACAGGTTACACTTGATACGTTACATGAGTGCTCAGTCAAATGGCGACTGCCCATAAATCGCGATAAGTCCTCGGTCCTCCCCATTGGTGTTTTTGTGTCTTTCGGGCCGTACCATATTGGTGGGGCGTTGCTCAGAACCTCAATTCTCGAAAACGACCTCCGCGTATTGATGTCATCTGATCTACGGTCTACACAGGACACGTTACGTAGGGTTGCTGCTGTCAACAGGATGTCCCATGCTATACGAAGAGCCTTCCTGCGTTTGACTCCGGATATCTTCAGACTTTTGTTTACTTCCCATATGCGCCCCATTCTTGAATACGGATTATTTGCCGTCTTCCCTCTCACCATGTTCGAATGTGGCCTGATTGAGAAGGTCCAACGGCAGGGATCCAAATACATCTTAGAGTTACGGGACATGCCTTATCCCCTAAGACTTCAGCGGATGAATCTGTTCTCCCTGGATTATCCTCGACGTCACGATTACCTGATTTTCACCAGGCGCATCCTGAGAGGAGAGATGGGGACGGAGCTGCAGGGGTTCTTCAATTCAATGCAAACAGCAACTCGAGACCTTAATTGGAAACTGTTTAAATCCAGAAGGCTCCGGGTTCTTCCTGCTTTCGCTCTATCAACTCGCGTAGTCAACGATTGGAACGGCTTACCGAAGCATCTGGTCGATGCCCAGACCGAGGAATGTTTCAAGCGAATGTTGGATTCTTATCTATTGAGTACGACTGACCCTCGCAGTTTCCACTGCAGCTGTCACGGTCCCTTGTGGAATACCACTATGCAACGAATGGCGACCTCCGCACAATGCTTGGGAAGCGGTGGAGCTGACAAAGCTATTTTCCTTCTGCCCCTCTGCAATCTTATGATCCCATGCTCCTATGATTATTGTCACCCCAACCATCCTACGGGATGTGCCTAGCACTTGCTTTTATCCCGTGATAAATCATTGTTCATTGTACTGGGCCAGCGAAATGATAACAAGCTTGACTGGTCAGAGCAAAATGAAACAACCAATAGATAAAGCTTGTTGATATATTCCGCAACTGGTACCTACTGGCTTATGTGGTATCGGCAGATTATCGCCTAGGCTAGAAGCCTGTCAGTGCGATAAGTATGAGTCTAACATATGTTCTAGGTACGGCCATTTTGTTGTTTTGGTAAATAACAAATATACCAATCAATAAATTCTGCATTTAACTGCGTTAGCTGCATTATTTATCATAACACGCCTGAGTTCTAGGATGCCACCGGTTGGTATTCCCTGAATTTATTCTAGATCATTAATTCTTTTGTCATCCGTTATTAATACATCAAAGTGGTGATTAATAAATTAGAACAACCGCCAACTTAGGCTAAGTTTTATCAGTAACCTCATTCGACATAAAGCCAACGTTCCTCTCTATCATCTCTCCATTTTCTCGCAGCGTTGTCACTGTACGCTGATTCGAACCGGATTTACCAGCCCTACCCAGTGATACATCATACGTGGAAATATCTTCTACGATTAGAGTCCGCGCCATCACTAACCGTTTTCATTGGCATAGGTGATTAAGCGCAAGCGGTTAATTCAATCATATTGAACCGATTACCTTTCTGTGTGACACCATTCGATACAGACGTCTCGTGGCAGTCCGAAAAGCCTAAGCTTATTCCGACGCGGCGTTTCTAAAAACAGCCGGGAAAGAATTTGTGATCTGTCAATCTGTGTTCAGCCTTGTGTTCAGATTCAGTTTGCAGGTTCCAGTCATTTGTCATTCCTTGTGACCTTATCAGCCAGTGCGCGTGCATAACCGATCACACGGACCGTGCGATCACGCCGACCGCACATTTGACCTTGCAACCACCACGCTGGCCTGACCGATATGCGCCGCTCTCAAAGCTGGAAAAGTACAGAACGCTTACCAACCCACTGGCTCAGGTAACGACACCACGTTGATTGGCAGAAATGCGAATCCGTAAAGGCTCAGAGAAAGGCATTTGTGGGTTAGAAAAATGTCATCTAGTAGTTAAAATCGGTGTGGCTTGCTTGCACTGTTTGGAATGGTATCATCCGAAGTGTACAAACGTTTCCCAACCACAGGTACGAGAGAGAAATAGTTCCCAAGATGCATTTTGGTTCTGTACTGCAAGCTCCACCATCCCACTTGTTAAGTGCATGCTTATCCTAGTTCAGAAGTGCGACCGGTTAACCGCGGAAGCCGAGCAGAGGATAAACGATAAGATTAATTCAATAGAAACCAGTAGGCACCAAGGAAGCGTAGCGGATTCTAAGCA